TAGATAAAATGAAAAATTGCACTTTTTGTTCATACATTATGGAGTAATTATAGAATTCGTTCTTAAGTGTTAGTCGTGCTCACTTTTAGTCTGTAAGCTATCATTGGATGTTGCACTTTTTGTGTTTCCTTTTTATTCCTAAACATTGCAAATTTCGTCCCTAATGTTTTGTTAGTAAAGGGATAAAAAATACAACGTCAATAATAGCTTAGTGACGAAAAGTGAGCATAATCAACAATTAGGAACAAATTCTACAATTATCATATAAATTAGAGTAATACTAAAAGTACAATTTTTCCTAAATAAAATGATAATCGAGGATTACATGTAGTAATAATATGAAAATACCACAAAAACCAAATGTTCAAAAAGAAAAATCTTAAATCAATTAATATAAATTCATAACTTTTTTAAGATCCATAGTACATCAAATACCTTTTAATTTGTAGCTTCGAGACTCAACATCAAACTATACATTTGTCCATAAAATTTCTCAGAATGTATAACAATCAATATCCTTACTATCAGTATCACCTGCAGAGTTTCACCCTACCTGCCATTAATATTGAAGTTCTAACTATTTTTGACAAATCTTAAATAAAATTGGGTGTCGAGTAATAAATGCAAGGCAACCATCATCCTCAAAGACAATGAATATCATTTGCCCCCTACTTTGACAAGTTTTTTAAAGGAAACAGTACTGCAATAAATAAGTTGTAATAAATTGCAAACCAAACAAACAAAAATTGTTTGTTACATTAAAAAATGACAATTGAGAAAGAATATTACATTTTTATAGCATGGATAAATAGGAATGTTCAAACTTGCCCCAACATATGTGGGTGATATGAATGGGGATACATAAACTCACTAGTCACTACTGTATTAAACTCACAAGAATACAGACTGGGCCCCTAAATGAGGGCAATTCTTTTATTTTCTTATTCAGAGTACATTGGAAGAATGATTAGCTTGGTATAATGGATGGTAGGAACCTAAACCAATACAAATGTTTCCCTACTGCTACAATAATGCCTACAAAACTATATCCATCAAATCATCAACCAAAAATGGAAAACTATTGAGTATGCAACAAATTTCTACTTAAAGAAGAAAGAATTCCTGAGGTGAGTAGGAGCAGTTCTTACAATTGACGACAGTCTTTGAATGTCCATGACCTATCAGCAGATAAAGCTAACAGTGCCAAGAACACGACAGAAAGAAGGCCTAGATTGCCTTCAATCCTGCTAGCTTGCGCAGCTTCTCGCAAATTATGAAGGTAATCATTGTCTGTGGACCCAATCTCGCGAATATTGCAAGGCCACTGCCACCATGGAAATATTTCAACATTCACAATCAAACAAATGATATATGAAAACAGAAACAACGAGGAAGTGATACCCTCTTTGTGTGATATTTGGTGTGTCAAATTGTCAATGGTACCATGTAACATCTAGTCTTATGTGACAGTAATAACAAATTCTATGTTGTCCAGTAACATATTATTTGGTGCACTGTGTGATGTTAACCTTGATGGAACCTACTCTATGTTACTATCACAACAAATTCTGAATTGTTAATGTGGGATTCTATAATTGGTTGTCACTTGGTGGACCATACGATATATATATATATATATATATATATATATATATATATATATATATATATATACACACACATATATATATATTGGTAATTACTAAAACATGAGTACTGGTTGAAATTTAATTAATTAGTAAAAGCATTTGTTAACTCACCCTTTGTAAAGACCACGAGGACCTTCAGTGAGCAGTACCTGGCATCATAATTACACGAGTGTTAGCTACAATCTGAAAAGTTTATGCGCCTTCATCTCAACAAATCAGTAATCTCACCTGCTACCTTGTTCTCCTCCCCCATCCCCCTTTTTTTCTCTATTTATTCAGATTTCATTGCTAAACAAAGTTTTCAAAATCTACTAATCATGGAAATGCAACAAGAAATTAGAGTTATCACCTGGTAACCACAGTGTAGTCCACTTTTGTACATTCCAGCACTATTTGATTCTCGTTGCAGCATAAGACGAGTTTTAACCATGTCCATGGGCGCTGTTATGAGGGTGCTTACAGTGCCTGCTATTGTACTCGAGCTTCATACCATGCAAAACTAGAGTCAGATGAAGAGGGTGAAACGAAAACCATCCTTGCACTGCTAATATGCAAAAGTGAAACATCCAAGTTGTATGTTTTAATGCATATTTGCTGTTATAATAAAAGAAAGTGAACCTACATGAGATGTAGATATAGCCCTTCCTCAAGAGAAGTCCACTTGAGTAACACCTGCATTGGGCAAAAATAGCAAAGGATCTTTACGAGTTTATAAACAAAGAAAACTACAGATATAATATGGGCCTTCAAAAATATTCGAAAGTGGTTAGTGACACTTAGAAGTTTACCCGTTTGGATTCATCATACGTTGCCAATTGAGATGCAGTTAAAGCAGCAGCTCTGGCCATTGCAGGCCCAACCCCTTTCCAAAGAGCCAGTACCCCCTCTCGTGAGGCAATCTTCTGCAGCTCACGAATGGGTCCTCTGTTTGATTTTGTATTCATCTGTAAACGAACCTGGATAAACATAGAAGCAGTGAGAAAAATTCGACCACTATGAAAAGGCTTTTCTTTTAAGCACTATTACCTTTAGAACTTCCACCGGGTTAGTCAGTGCAGTGGCAACAGCACCGGAGAACGCTCCAGATGCAATCTTCATTATGATATTTGAGGACTCAAAAGCCATTTCAGCAACATACTTTGATGGTTCATACAAGCCTAAACGAAGGCCGCCATAAAGAATTGACCTCATCAACGCAGGCGATAGTCCCCGATACAAGGACCCAAGCCCTTCATTTCTTACCACATGAGCAGAAAGCTTTCCCTAATATCATAAACTAAAGCAATAAGCAGCTGCTACCTTATCTTTAAACCCAAAAACAAAAGAAAGGAACAAGAAAACACTTCTTTAATACCATTCCAGTCAAGGGACCTCTCTGGCCAACAAGTTGCATTTGCAATCTGACTTTCAGAACATCTACATCCAAAATAAACTCAATCACACATCCGGAATATATATCTATTGATTATCAAGCCCTTAACATAGTACACTGGTGCTTACAAGCGTATCAAGTTATTTAAGTACTAATTAACAGTTTTAGAGATAAATTCTTGCACGATCACACTTTATTCTGCAACTAAGCATGGCAATATTCTTAATATGATAAGAACTAGTTTTAAGTTATGATATATCTTTGTGTAAGATTCAAAATGCCCTACTTTCATAGTCCCCAACTTACCTTGATCAATCATCATTTCATATGAATAAATAAATAACTTCATATAGGGGCAACACCAGCCAAACATGCACACTTCCATAACATTTTATATGTTTATAACTAAGCATAAAGCACACAAGCTTTATAAATGTAACAACCATCAATCTGAGTTCTCAGTGATCTAAGTCAGGCAGCATTTTACAAATAATTTGGCAGAAAGAAAAGAAATGAGAGAAGTTTAAAAGTAAAAGGCGGAAGATTTACCTAGAGGGTGAGTGATGGCGGTCGCAGCAGCAACCGAAATCCCACTGGTGCCGAAGTGGTACGCAACATCAGAAGCTGAAACGCCCCATTTTTGCCTCTGCTTTACTTCCCTCGATCCTGAATGATATATCAAAGATAAATGCAATCAGAATATACGCACGAGAGGACTTACTTTTTAAATCTCGAGATTCGAGCGAACCAGAAAGCAAGGTTTCACCGGAAGCAGAGTCGCCGCCCATTGTTGATTCTCGTTGCGGCGGTGGTGGTTGTCCGGCGGGTGGGAAGAACTAATTGAACCGTTGAATAAAGCGTGCAAATAACTGATTAGGGACTGCGGTTAACGTGCGCAGGCGGGGGATGGTGAGATCCTCAATCCTCATTGTCTTTAACGACGTCGTAAGCTTCCTTCCCAGTTCCTACCAAAACTTCCACTCAAACATGGCGTCTTAAATTTGTGGCTTGCCATGTGAGAATAATGTTCTTTTTCTCCTTTATTTGACCTTTTTGTTAGTTTTTAATGTAAATTTAATCAAAATTTGATGCCTAATGCATTGTTCGAATAATTATATACTATTATCCTTGTGAAAAATGTGTGTATATATAAACTTATTTTTAAAAAAAAAAAACATTTCCTAACATAATTAAGCCAAAATGTTTATAATTTTCAGCACTCACTACCCAATGATACGTTGACCCTAACCAACAAAAAATCACAATCATATAAACCAGCTAAGGCCTGAACTTGTAGCTATATTATCAACTCAACAATTTAACTAACTTGGTTGAGATTGTCCTCTAATTTAAATACAAAACTAAAATAATAATGCTACTGAATATTAGCCATTGTCTGGTGGCACAAAGTGACTCTCCTAAATGGGAGATCATGAGTTCAATCACCAATGGGACAGTATTGACTCTTTGTGTTTCGCTAGGTTGAGAAAGTAGTTATGAACAAATAAGACTGATGAACCGAACATAAACGAACGGAGAATGATCGTGTACGTTTGTTAAGGTTTTTGAAGTGTTCGTGTTCGTTTGTTAAGGTTTTAAAAAATCCTGTTCGTATTCGTTTGTTAAGCGTTCATTAGTGTTTGTTAACGTCCTCAAACATGTTCACGAACGTGTTCATTAACATTAACGAACATGTTCACGTTCATAAACACGTTCGTGGATGCTTAATAATCAAACATATGAACATGTTCATGATCACAATTCGTTCGTGAATATGAAATAATATATATTCATGAAAAATAACTAAACGAGCTTGTTCACGAACTACAAAGAGAATACAAATTTTATTTGTTAATATTCGTTTACTTTAATAAACGAATATAAACAAACGCTTACCGAACATGAACACAAGTAGTTTACCGAAAACTCTGTTCGCTAACACCCCTATGAAGTAACAGAGTCAGTAATACTCAAAAAAAAAAAAAGAATATTAGCCAATTAATACTAGTAAAAATGGAATATAAAATAGGACAGGATAATAAACAGTCAGGAGCATATTGAGTTACACATAAATGAGAAAAACAGCTGATGCCATACAGTTGTGGATCAACCAGTTATTGTACAATTGATGCCATCTTTTACCACTGCAACTTCTTAGAAATAGAAACATCCCTTGCTGATAATCTCTTTGGGATCAGCAATGATCTGAAATAAAGACCTTTTGGGAACTTCAGGCATTCCTATATCATGCCAACCATTCATTTCCTCCAAGCGTCTGTGTACCTTAGTTGCTACTCCCTAGCAAAGATGTCTGCCTACCCAGATTTTCAGAGTGGGAAAGCATGTGTTGCAGAATGTCAAACTTCTCACATGTTTTAAATAGAGCCAGATTTCATTGAATCAGCATCTTAGCCAGGGAAGTATAAGCATAACTGGGATCTGGCAGGAACATGATACCCAAGAGATGCAATTGAGGTTCAGTAGCGTGATGCAGAAGGACCTGCGTAGGACTGGCGGAGTAATACTGGATTGGATGAATAGTCAGGGTCGTTGTCAGGATATTGGTATCTTTGGCTGAGGTCTGAAGGTGCATAGGTAAGATATGGTGAATGGCGACTCTCCCTCTCCCTCTCGGCAGTCACTCTACCGGGATGGCCTCCTGTCTCCCTTGTGTAGTTTGACTCAGTTATGTAAGACTCTCTTCCCGTCAGAGAATAAGGTTCCAAGGGCTCGGGCAGTCTCATTGGCAAAGAAAGATACCGATTAACAAGTGATGCGGTACTGTCATTGTAGGGATTACAACTGTATGAGGCATGGTCTTGTACCCCAGGATTGATGGTGGAAGTCATTGTAGTGTCAGTTTCTAGAGAAGGCTGTACAGTAGTGGTCATTTCCTGATAACCCTTAAGGCCATAATTTCTGTACTCCTTTTCATTGAGGAAATAAGGATCAGGCAAACCAGCTTCATTCCGTGGCAATGATGAAGCACGACCACTTACAAGAGCAGGGTTCCTCAGAGATTGCTCCAACCCTTCATTAGGTCGATAACGATCCAATAGATGATCAATATCAGCAGTAGAGTCAGTTGGCACAAGCTGTCTCCTTTGTTGAAGACCATAGCTTCTATATTCTTTTTCAGTGAGAAAAAGTGAAGAAGAGGGTGCATCATTACGCGGGGTGATGTGGCGGTTAGTCAAGAGTGACCTCTCATGACTAATTGGTAAAGGTTCAGCACCATTGCTAATAATGTAAGGTTCTCTATACACTTGTTGCTGGAATTCATCACCAGGCAAACTCCCTGCCGATGTGTGGTGAATAACAGACTCTGGCACGGATTCTGGAAGAGAAGATTTGGATGTTGCATGCAACCATGGTGTAGGCCTAAACAACTTCATCAACTGTTTCACCTGTTAGGAATAGAAAATGGCATCTTAGAGGAAAAACACAGGGTAAACTTTCACATAATTTTCAGGGAAAAAACATGCTTTAAGACAGATTTGCTGTAAATAAGCAAGATTTCATACTTGTGCAACTGATAAATCAGTCTTGAATTTGTGCTTCTTCTCATCGTAATTATCCTTGATAGCTTTTTTAAAAACACTTTCCGGCAGGGGAAGGCAATCCTCAATAACTGTGAATCGGACCTGTTTAGTGGCCAATTCATCAACACAAACTTCTGATGGATAGAGGAAAAGACAATGAAGAAGAAATCACTAGATGTTAATAAGAAAAGCGAGGCTGACCTGAGCAGGAAATCCCCCACCAAAGGCTGCCGGTTCAAGTTTCATTCCACCAGTTGATGATGCTTCATATACTCCATACAAGAGCTTGAGATCAAAATCATAGAGGAATAGCTTAAGACCAGGTTTGATTCGCATCACGACATCTTGTTTATTCACAGTAATACCCATTACTCGATAGTGGAAACAATCTGGTTTAGTCTTCCCACTACACATAAAGATCATTCCACCAAGGCCCTCAGTGGAACGTTGGTCTCTTCTCTTCAACTCTCTACGCTTGTCATCTATTTGTCGCTCATATCTGCTACCAGATTGCTTACTTTGATGCTTCTCAGTTCTTTGACTTTGACCACTAACCTTCTTGACATCTTTGATCTCCTCCCTTACATTCTCCTTTCTATCTTTCCCACCATTGTTCACAGTGGACTGCTGGCCCCTTTTCTTCAATTTTTTAAGCTTTTCATCCATATGCCGCTCGTTTTTATTCCCAGCTTGTGTATTAGGTCGTTTCTCAGCTCTTTGACTTTGATCACTGACCTTCTTGTCATCTTTAATCCCCTGCCCTCTATTCTCCTTCCTGTCTTTGACTTGTGAGCTGCTCTCACCTTCTTTGCCTTGAGCAGATTTCTTAGGCAAAGATTCTTTCACAATTTTCTCTTTGACCTTCAAAGACTTGGGGGTTTTCTTGAGTGTGCTTTTTGAAGCAGACTCCCCAAAGCCCTTTCTATTGCCCTTCTTAGAAGCCATGGTCTTCCCTGTTAACACCAGCATTTACAATTCAAAAACAAATTCCATTATCCAAAGCATCAAACCCGTATGCAACTGAACATTCATACCCCAAATATCATTCAGCAAAGCAACAATTACATGTCTGAAAGTAACAGAATTGGCAGTGTAAATTAATTTTCGGTGTTATATAGAAATTCACAATGAATTAAAATAGCTAATGAAATTGTGAGTTTATAACACAAATCGAGAATAGATCAGTTCTCTAAAACATAGAACCTCAAAGAGATTAGGACTGATGATAAACCTCACAGAGTTTACCGTGAAATCCCTAATCAAATACAAACATAATTGTGCAGCAAAAACCTTAAAAAAAAAATTAATAAACTTCAGCGAAATCATAGCTGGCGTGAACATAAGATCTATGTTCAGCGGCATATATGTAAGTATGAACAATTCGATTGACCTTCAATTATCGTGAGAGCAGAAGTCGCTGCTGAGATGCGGGACCTCCTGGGTGATGAACAGGATGAGCGATATGGGAGAAAATATCATGGAAGAGAGAAATAATTCAGGAAAATTAAATGGAAAAATATTATCAGTGTTGGGCTTAGATCCAAAGCCCGGTAGACGATGATGAAGGCCCAAAACAGAGGCCTGCATTTTAAGACTTTGAATAGCCCGACCTTGACTAGGACAATAGTTATACCATGGACCCGGATCCACATTGCAAGGTGGATTCGAATCTCGCAATTTACATACTGATTGTTCACAATTTAGATACATAATTAACAATTTATCTTTTACAAAATTTTGAACATTCAGTATGTAAATCGTGTATTTTGAACACGGATCCATAGAATAATTTGCGTGACTAGGATGTGAAGCACTGAAGCCAACAAGTTGATTGGCGTGTGTATGTAGTAATGTCTTTGTACGAGTTATTCTCGAATAGATTTAATCGAGATATGTCTGAATTAGTCTCATTCTATCAAATGCATATAACATTATTGATAAGTTACATTTTCATACAGAGCGCTTTATTAGCCTTTTTTGTTTTAGCAGATCAACTATAGGCAGTTTAAGTTATTTTTCATTTTATAATCTTTTGTCAGTCAGGTTCACAACTCACAGTACGAAATATATACAATGTACATTCTTAGATAGTTACCATATATTTTCCTCGTCACTCAAATATGGGCCAAGTATACATGATCAAATTTTGACAATTGTAATATGAAAGCTATACTCATTTTAATGAACAATAGGTATTGATTCTCCCATCTAACGAGCTGTTAAGTTATCGTAATTTACTATTCTAGTATCATATTGACTCTCGGAGAGCTAAGAATTATTTTTTTTGGGGACAAGGGATTGATTAGGAACAAGGAATTAGCAATAACAACCATGGAAGAATCCAAACAAGTGCAGCTCTATCTCTCTCCTCTTTTCCTTTTCCCCATATTCCATGTTTTTTATAATTGTATTTACATTCGGGGATCAGATTCATCTTCCAACAACTTATTCGGAAGATTACCCTCAAAATCAATTATTTGAAAGCAAGACTTATGATAAGATTCTGACATCTGACTGACACCTCATCAAGGGCAACAACTCTGTCCTTATTGGCATTCTTCTACTCACTCCACATACTGAGTCAACAGCATAAGAATTCTTGTTTCTTCTTCCTCTTCATCCCTGTTTACCAAACTGTGGCAGACAGCAAGAAACAACATGTTCAAGGTTGTTCCAAGGTTAGTTCATCTTTCCTTAATCTGGGCTAGCAATAGAGTGAAGCAGAGAATTGATATATGAAGATGAATGGTTTCTGCAAACTAGCTGTACATAGATCTGGGATTTCACATGATTCTGTTGATCTAAGACAATACTGCGCTGAGGACTCTGAGGAACATCAATGGAGATTTGTTTGTGTTCTCCATTCTTTTATATTTGTATAATCTTAGTCCCTGTTTCTTGTTCTTGACCTTTTTTTTTTTTTTTTTTTTTTTGCAGAAAGCTCTGCACTTCAAGATCATTCCTTGTTCATTTCTTCAACAGGGAATTCTCTAGCACCTCACAAAGGTGCGTAGATATGATTAAATGATGTGTTTAGTTTATATTTTATACGAAAAATGGTTAAATAAGTTGTAATTGTTGAGTAATTGTCATATGCCTAAGAATAATAAACAAATTTAATAATATTGTTTACATATTTATCTAATTATCGCAGAAGGAAATTGGAAGGCAAGGTAGCATTGATCACGGGAGCGGCGGGAGGTATTGGGAAAGAAACTGCAGCGAAATTCATCGAAAATGGCGCTAAAGTCGTGATTGCGGATATCCAAGAACAACTGGGCGAAGACACCGCCGCGGAACTCGGCGCAAACGCCGCCTTCGTCACCTGCGATGTCTCCGAAGAGCGCGACATCTCCGCCGCCGTGGATTTCGCGGTGTCGAGGCACGGCAAACTCGACATCATGTACAACAACGCGGGCATTGCGTGCCGGACTCCGGCCAGCATCGTCGACCTGGACATGGCGGCGTTCGACCGCGTGATGTCGGTCAACGTCCGCGGCGTGGTGGCCGGCGTCAAGCACGCCGCGCGCGTGATGATCCCGCGCCGCTCCGGGACCATCCTGTGCACGGCCAGCGTGACGGGGGTCATGGGAGGGCTGGCGCAGCACACGTACAGCGTATCCAAGTCTTCGGTGATCGGAATCGTGAAGTCATCCGCCGCCGAGCTCTGCAAGCACGGGATTAGGATCAACTGCATTTCGCCGTTCGCCATTCCGACCGCCTTCGCAATACCGGAAATGAAGGATTACTTCCCCGGCGTCGACGACCGGGGACTCGCCGAGATGCTACACAAGGCAGGGGTGCTGGAAGGGGCCCACTGCGAGCCCGGTGACGTCGCTAACGCCGCCGTTTATTTGGCCTCCGACGACGCCAAGTACGTCAGCGGCCAGAATCTGGTGGTCGACGGTGGCTTTACATCAATGAAAAGTCTGAATCTTTCCCCGCCACTCTCCAATGCTTAGAAATTCATACCAAATATTTGCAGAATTTTGTTACATTCTCTGCTTTATCAACATTAACATTGCAGATGATCTAAAATATAATCCAAATGTTAAAATGTTTATGTGTTAGCATATAATATATACACATAAACGTGCAATACAACTATTCTGAATTAAGATGAAACACAGATTCTTCAATTTGGTATCAGAACCAACCACAATCTGTTAGAACTGTTCTAACACAATCTTTCGCATGAAATCTTCTGGTGCTGCAAAAACCAAGGAGGAGATCAGACAGCTAAAAGGATGGCAAGCAGACAACAAGACAAGTTAACCTTAAGAAACCAGAATGCTGCAAACTGCAAAGGTAGCATATGATAATGAAGAAAGTGTACTCTATTTATGGACAGTCTGATTCGCAGATCGCTTGACAAAAGATATACTAACACGAGTGAAGAAACGGTACCTAGTCCATCAGTGAACAATTTGAACTGTCCGAGTGCCTGCCTGATGAACATCTCGACCCCGCTAACAACTGCAGCTCCAACCTCGGCAGCCTCTTGCAGCAGCCGAGTGTTTCGAGGTGTGTAAACAGCATCGAACACGACGTCGTATGATTTCAAGGCCTCCTAATCAAGGGTAGCACAGAAAGACAAACATTTAAGATGTTATTATCCTGTTCTGGTTGGAAGATCAGAGTAACTGAATTGCTTAAAGTTTCTTGGAAGATTTTAGGGAGTAAGATCGAGAAACCTTGCAAACCGGGGTTTGATCTATCCTTGGCTGCATGCCAATGGCAGAAGAGTTAGCGAGGATCATCCCGGTCTCGGGGCTGAACTCGTTTATGCATTCAAACGGAAAGGCTTCACCCGACACAGCAATGGCAAGAGCCTTTGCTCTCTCTTCAAAAACCAGAAACCAATTAGTAAATACTAAATATAAAGGAGAATCATCTTCATTCTTCTCAATTCTCATCATTTTTGGTTGAAGAATAAGAGGGTTATTACCATAATTCCGGTTGAAAATCACCACCCTCGCTCCTCGACTTTTGGCACCAAAAGCCATTGCTCTTCCAGCCCCACCCGCTCCAACCAGCACAAACAATTTCCCAGCAATGGTGGTTTGTCTCTCTGTTCATTACAAATTCGATACAACATATACCATTTCCTTAAAAAAAAAAACGCATTGATTCAAGTTCAACAACTAACCAACCTACCTCTGAGTGTATCTTCAATAGCAGTTAAACAGGCCTCGCAATCTGTATTATAACCAATGAGCTTCCCATCACTCGGCCTCCGAATGATTGTATTTACAGCACCTATGGACTGATGGTTTGTAAAAACACGTTGCAATTTAAAAAGGGTCAGCACAAATTAACTCCAAAATGCGAAATTTCAGTCACAGGTAGCAAAATTAAAGAACATCCATGTTTGAACAACCTTAAAGGAATCTAGCTGAAAAATAGTAAGCATGTTTTAACTTTTAAGACCTTAGCGAGGGGATCGACTTCATCACAGCACCCTACTGCTGCTTCCTTATGAGGGATTCCGACACTAAAGTCCATAAAAAAACGAGAAAGACCATTAGTTAGCTTATGAAATGAAGGAACATTTAGAGATCTATTGATATTATACCTGAAACCAGCAAAGTCGTTGCTCGAGTAAACTCTGAAGAACTCCTTAATATTATCGACAAGCAATGGGACATAGATTCCATTATACCCTGTATGCCTAAAGGCAGGGTTATGCAGAAGAGGGCCTTTGCTGTGTCCTACAGGATTCGAGACGACCCCAAAAACTCTCGTGTCTGCATTCATATTTTCGAGCTGATATACTTCTTTGATGCTATTCAGACATGGCAAGCCAGGAATGGACTTTCCATTCAAGGATCCACACACAAAGAAAGCACCATATTTTGGACCAAGTAATTGGCTTATAAGACCCCTATCTCCCACAGCCCTTGCAATTAGGGGCACCTGTACATACATTTGGAATCTCAGAAAGTTTTGCCATTAAAAAGATGCAACTTTGTAACCATATATATATATACACCTGACAATGGGTGAGTGTCTGAAAAACCGGGGCTACATCTGTGATATAAGAGACATCAATTACAAGCTTAACGATGTCTGCTCCCGTTGCTTGTAGATTTATGATCAGGTTTCCTAGTTTCTCAGCGGTTGGAGGCCCGCCACCATTCACATAACTCGACACGATTATCTTGGTGTTCAACCGCACACTCATTAACTCCGCCATAACAGCATCAGAAGCCACCTATGAAGTTCAATGCATAACCATAAAGCTTTTAAGCTCAGTTGGGATAATAAGAGTTATATACACTTCAGTACTTTGATGCAGCATTGAGAAAATAGAAAGTTGCCTAATATATATACATATTTTGATACATTATATTCCTTAACTTATGTCAGACTAATCTTAAATCCCAGACCCTCTGTCCGAGAGTTACTGAAGGAGGTAAATTGTCAGTCGCCCAAACAGCTTCCCAGTTAGTCTCTATCATTGACTCTGCACAAAAGAGATCCATTTCACACCTCCGCTAACTTCGAGAGCCTAATCTCCAATCTAGGAAATCTAAGGACAGACTGGGAAGCCCTAACTCCAAGATGTTATTGGTGAGAGTCGAGCCCTATCCTACCCCTAGAGCGACCACTTGAGCTAGCCCAGCTGGGCAAAATTGCCTAATATTTTAAGATCTACCAAATTCTCAAGCATTTCTTTCTTTCTTATCCCATAAATTTCATTCCTGCATCTAAAGGCAAGAAGCTAGCTAGCTAGAAAGCACATAATCTACAAGAATTATAGTGAAGTTAACATCTTTATTACATGCGAGCTGAGCTTCGTACAATTCTGAGTTAGCTGTATATATATATCCATGAAAGTATGAAAGAAAACGGCGACTAACCTCGAGTGCTACTTCGACGAACTCAACGTCCAAGCGAAGAGCGAGTTTGAGAACTTGTAAGCACGTGCTCTTCCAGTCTCCTCCGTTGCCGGAAACCGCCGCCGCCGCATTCGGCCTGAGACAAGAATCCCATATTCCAACATTAATCTAAAGGTACGTACGATGTTGTTGAATCGATGGGTGTTTTCTTTTAATTTCACACTGCACTTCATCGACGGTTTCAGAAACTTGGGCTGTCGGAATATGGGACTAATGGTGGACATGCTTGAATTGTATTGCTAAAAGGCTCAGATTTTCCTAGTCCAAGTTGTTAACGTTAATTAATCCAAATAAACAAACATATATGAAGAATGATTTGCGTACTAAACTAAGATTATACATATTACTGTCTCTGATCTCTTCATATACACTCCTATAGTAGTAATTGGCGCTCGACAGAAGAGCGAACCCACAACCTCTTACGTAGAGAGTAACTTGGTAGCAGTGGACCACAAGATTGTTAGTATATATTATTCTTATTACTATATGCTTTATAATCCTTCAGTAATAGATAGAAAGAATACATATATGTTGTTTGAGCGGGCTTAACTCACTGGTTCAGTGGGCAATATGTGAGAAAAGAGACCACGGTTCAAATGTCAATAACGACAGTGGCAGTGTAAAAATTATGTTCAAAGTGGACAAATCCCTTATGTGTATTTGACATATTAAAATTAAGTCATAAATGAATTACATAATCATAGGAAGAGTAAACTATGCCACTCTTAGGTGCCCACAAGAAACCCTTCACATAACTAAATTTAATACTAAGTACCAACTAAACTGCTCATGTAGGCACGAATTACTTAATCGGATGCCTGAAAAATCAAATCTTTTTGAATAATTAATAACAAGAAGGTAAATTCTTGGATGGAATCTACGGGCATCTCCATGAATGAAGGCAATGAAAGGAGTATAGACACATGAATCTTGAATATTCAATTCCCATGAAAGAAGTGAAGACATTACCTGCAGCAGACAATGGAGGGAAGAGTTCTGGTCCTGAGGATATGTTCAACCTCGGAGATGTGGGAGAAAGACAAGGAATGGATGCAAAGCTCCACAAGATCTGCTCCTTCTTCCTTGGCTACTTTCATGCAGCCTAACATCTCTTCCTGGGTTTCGCATTCCAACGTTGTGTAAACCACCATGTCGCTCTTAAACCCCATAATATAATATAATATAATATAATATAATATAATGCAGATAATGAATGGAGCCCAGACAACAACAATAATCCTCAAATGTTTCCCTTCTTATATTGTTGCTGGATGGGTTATATACGTGTTTAGTTGGGGCTATATATAGGAGAGTTGTGCAGTACATGCAATAATGCTCCTCTTTTCACTTATCACTTATATAAGCTCAGTTACCGTCTTACCGACTGTTATTTTTATACTTCATTCTCAAGGTTAGTTGACCACTGAAGGTTAGTCTCTCATATTCCTTTTTCTTTAGATAAATCCAGTCTTATGACCTTAAATAAAAAATCACAACAGGATAAAACAGTTCAGTTTAAGTTGTTCATAACGAACTGACTCAAACTAAGAAAGTCTACTACTATTCTGGGTATGTTCTGGGTAAATCTAGATTTATAACCTTAGCCAGTAAAGAACCACGAAGAGATAATAAGAGTGGTTGAAAGTATAAGATCAGAAGTGCATTGATGGTGTGGGAAATGTGCACAAACTAATGTATGTATGTATATAATTGAAGTTATATTGTGACCCCCCCCCCCCCCCCCAAAAAAAAAAAAAAAAAAAAAACATACACACGTACGTTTATTAATTGCAGTTGCAGCAATAATGCAGTTTACCGTATATATATCACAGTTTCACATCACAGTCCAGGACCCTCCATTCATGATTCCTCTTTTTCATTTTGGAAGCAGCTGCATATATATATGGTACATCTCATATGCTTCTCATCACAGATTCCAATTCCAAATACAAAAAACATGATTTCTCTGGGCACCCTTGCCCCACATCCCACTAACATGATAGATTCATCTCCACTCTTGGAATATACTCTATTATATACACACATTTCTACATCACAATGCATGTATATGATAGTTTGGGGATTAAAGAGAAATTGCATATACTTCTGGTTTTACATATTGGGTTGGGCTTGTTATATTCATGTTATGGTTTCAAGTACTCCTAACAAATACAATATTGTGTATTCATCATTAATGTTATTGTTTCAAGTGTTCCATCTCAACTAAAAACTTAAACTGATAGTTGAATTACACATTTATTCTTTTCAAAAGGTTTGAACTTCAACCCTAAAGGCCTCCATACCCCGGCCCGACAGAACATCAGGTGGATTGCACATTTATGTTTATATATATTATATGCTCACACTACAAGAAAAATGCACATAGACAACGGTTAATAACCGTTGTCGTAGGGGTATAATTTCTGTTGTTGAAGCCGGTGTTGTTGTAAGTCCCGCGCATAGACAACGGTTTTTTAACCGTTGTCTTTTCTAGAAACAACAACGGTTTTTGAACCGTTGTCTATTGAGTGTTGTTGAAACCGGTGTTCTTAAAAGTCACGCACATA